CATGAGAACCCAACTGTCTTCAATGCCTACACGTGGTTCCCCTACAGTGATGGTAACTGTGGTACCAACTTCAGTCAAATTAAATTAATCGACTCTTGCTCCTTTGGTCGGAGTACCAAAGTCAATTGGTACCCCCCCAAAATCCCTGACCGGTTCAATCAATGTACCATTAGAGTACGTATGGTACAAAGACCGCCACATGTTAATTACGTACCAAATAATTCCTGGAGTGGTACCCCAGATGGTATCCGTGGTATTGAAACCACTATTTTGGACTTGGTTGCCGAATTTGCTAACATCCGTATGTACTACCATTACGATCCAGTACCAGAAAACTGGGGCAATGTTTACGATAATGGTACCATCACTGGTAATTTAAACTACTTGTACCAAGAAATCGACGATATTGCCATTGGTGCCTATGCCAAAACCATGAGACGATCCCTTTTTTTCGACGATGTCCCGTACCAACGCGATGGGTTAGTTTTCTGTGTCCCATTTAAGACACTTAACCTAAGATTGAAAAGTTTGGCCGAAATTATGGGTCTTGGAGTGTTGGTACTGACCCTTTTTTTGTACCTTGTGGTAACGACAATGTCATGGTTGGTGAGTCGACATGATTACACCCATTACCAAAAATTTGACACGTGTGTCATTGATACGTACCAGATTTTACTAGGTTTATCGGTTAGTTTGCAACCTAGGAGTACCAGAGTTAGGTTTTTTATTGCCCTCTTGATTCTTTATAGTTTCTATATAGGTTCAGCGTACCAGACTTTTATGACCAGTGCTCTAGCTGATGGTAGTACCAAACAAGAGATTACTACCATTGAGGATATCATAGATCGTGGTTGGGACATTTATGGGTTATCATCCAGGTACTTTGAAAGTGATGGTACTAGTAGTACCATGAGTCGTACCAACGCCGCCATTTTGAAAAAATGGATAAACTGTTTAAAAGTGCTAAAGTGTCTCGATTTGGTGGCTTTTAACCGAAATGTTTCGGTTTGTCTCCCAAAATCCGTCACCATATTTATTTTAAACAGTTACAAGACCTCAAATAATGACCCACTTATTTATTGTTTCAAGGAAACAATAGTAACATATCCTGTTACTATCATCACGAGAAAAGGATTGCAATTTTATCAAAGAATTAGGACTTTGGTCAACCGGATCCTTGGTTCTGGGATTATACAAAAGTGGGAAAGGGAAATTTTGAGAACCAGATTTGCAAATTTCACCGCTGAGGTACCTGAAGAGGAGGAAACTAGCGACGAACTTGATTTTGATAGTTTGAAATTGATTTTTTATATTTGGGGAATTGGGTGTGTTGCAGCTTTGGTTGCATTTTTTTGTGAAATTGTTTATTGCAGATGGGTTGAAAAACTTGACTCTTGTTTCAAAAAACTTAAAAAAAATTAAACGTTTTTTCACCAGTTTTACCAACATCGTTTTTTTGGAGATAAATAGTGTCAAACTTCAGTAAATACACATGAAATAAATATTATTTTTGTTAGTTTCAGTGCCTCTTTTAAAAAAAAAGAATACATAAAATGGAGAACAAAAGCTAAAAATAAAAGAATTAAAAATAAAACAAAAATTTTTGCTAGTTTCAATATTTTTCAAATTTAAAAAAATGATGTATTTGGCTCAAAATAAATCAAATAAAAAGAAGGTTGTGTTTAAAATACCGTCCTGACAAATATGGATACAACATAAAGGATAAAATGTTAAGTAAAACAAATAAGTACTGAAAAATTGTAAAATAAAGAAATATACCAAAAAATAAGAAAAAAACAGCAAATTTTGACATAAATACTATCAAATTCCAAGTAGTTTTCACCACCTGAAAAAAAAGTCGTCCAAAACGCCCCTGAAAATCACTACTACCAACTTTTAGAAGGCGAATTTTACTAGTTCATTTTAGCACCCAAATCGGTGTTGAAATGGCTTATTAGAGCATCGGTTTTGGTATCGAAATGAGCTTTCTTTTAGTCGCAATATAGATAAAATACGTTTTTTAATGTTTAAAAAAATATGAATTTTTTATTTTTTTTAAATTACCACTGTTGCGTGTGTCAAATTACTGCAATCTTCACAATTTTAACATCAATTATTAATAATATTTATACTTTTCTCCTTTTCTCAATGAAAAAAAACTCATTCTTCAATCACCCACCCAGTGTGTTTATAACGCAATTGAACGTTTTGTCGAAAAAGACAAAACAATTTTTTATTCATTTCATAAAAAACTGAACACAAACTATAAAAAGTAAAGTAATAGAAGAAAAAAATAAAAAAATAATAAGAAATATGTCTTTTGTTAGGCCGTGATTTTTATT